GGGCTTCCTGGAATCAGCCGCTGATCAGTTTCAACAGGCTGAATCTGGACGCCAGTTCTTACATACAGATTCAACTTAAGAACAAACCTACAGTCCCTATCTTGTACGTAACACGGGGACTGCCTGTAGTTATGAAAGCTGGACTCTTCAAAACATAACTTGTAATTTTTTTAAAATTTTCATAAAGAAATAAATACAAAAAGTATACTATTTTAGTTTGTATATGTTGCCAAATACAGCACAATTTATAGCTTTAAAAAATCCTTTACTCAAAATCTTAGTATTAGTTTGCATATTTCCCTATATATTTAAATCAGAAAATTAATTGGTACAGAAGTTCTGCAGAGAATTTTGTATGTTTGTAACACGCAGCATAATATTGTAATATCTTTTACTGTGTATTTGTTTCTTCTTAGTCTAATATAAATCACACCAAACAGAGGTTGTGAAATGTCACTCTACCTATTCTATGTTAGTCGGCTCTTTCTTAATCCCTGGGTCTTCCATCTCAATTAGCTATTAACAGGTGCATGTAAAATATTAAGATTAATTTTATAAAACTACAATAGTTGGATGGCTTTGAAGAAGGAAAGAGGGGCATTTTACTGGTGTTGAATTTGGAACTAGAAAAAATAGGAACAAGCTCTTGCAAAGAAAAACACTTCTTATTAACTGCAATATTAAAAGATTTTCAAGTTCTTTGCTCAGAAAAATATGAAGTCACACTCATCTTCATTTTAATTTAATTTTGTGTAAGCCTTCTTGTAGGTCTTTTAGAAGAATATTTGAAAAAGTTTTCCTTCCATGATTTTGCTAAGTTCAAGATGCTATGATATCTTTAATTTCCATATCACAGTCAAGTAAGGTTCCTCCTAGTCTTTTCCCCAGTAAACTTTTTGAATACATTTTTTTTTAAATTGAGATAGATTTTGACTCAGCATTGGAAATGTGTGTAAATTATTAAAAATGTTTGTGAACCTCTTGTGACTGTCAAACTTTTATACAACAGGATGATAAATCACAAAAGCAGTTCATTTGTATTAATACTCTAGAAGATACACAAGCTGTCAGAGCGGTGGCTTTCCATCCAAATGGGAGTTTATATGCTGTTGGCTCAAATTCCAAAACTTTGAGGGTATGTGCATATCCAGAAGTAATTGACCCAAGGTAAGACAGAAAATAAGTGACTGTACTGTCCTACCATAATCATTTATGTTTCTACTGCCTAGCACAGGATATCCAAAGCTGTCTAATTATTTCAAACCTGTTCTTTTCTTAACACTTAATTTTATTAGTATATTAACCTGTTAACAGTAAGCTGTTACAATGATTCTTTGATAAGATAGTAACTACCAACATAGAATAAAAAGACCAGCTGTGATTATTTTTGCATTTGTGACTAGTTTGGCTAGTTCTTTTTGCTACTGACAAGCTGTTTTGACATGAGTAATAAAACATTTACTTTAGGTAGTATTCTTCTCTTATAGTCTTGAACACACTAGCATTGTAAAAGAAATGTTTGTGTCTTAAAATATACATTGTAGGAACAGAAAACATATGGCCAGGTGCTTCTGGTCTTAATTCCACCTGACCTTCTTGAATGTTGATATCTGTTGTTTCCTTTTTTTTTTTCCCAGAAATAAATCTTGGTCTCGAACTCAATTTCTAATAATTGCTTCAATTTTATTAATTTTTAAAACATTGGAGAGTTTTCAGAAAAACTTCTCTAAAATGGGATTTTGCTCCTGATGAATCTGGGATATCTTCCCAGTTAGGGGCAAAAGCATACTTTATAGCCAAATGTCTCTGCCTAATAAAAGTGATATGCATTCTGGGGTGGTTGTTTTTTTTCCCAAAGATAATACACAAGGATTCAGTAACCTTCTTATTCCAAAATGTTTGATGTTGATAAGAGGCATAAAAAAAGGCCTTGGGGGAGAAGTGGCAAGTGTTGTGGGTCCTCCTCTCCCTCCCCTTTCTCTTCCCCTGATTTGTTTGGCATGTTATGGTGGAATTTCAAAAAATCTGTTCTTTAATCTATAAATAGATTATCCCTGTAGCCTTTAACACCCTAGTTAAGTGTGTGTAATTTGATTGAATTTGTCAATAGTCACATCAATAAGATAGAAAATTACAGCACAGTAAGAAACTAAAGAGAATGTTCCAAGCTTTCCACACTTCTTCCTGAAGTCAGCTTGTACATCTCCTTACACTGTCTTGTCAGGCTATAAACATAGTAAAGAGTGTTCATATTCTTACTCTTGAGAAATATTTCCTGCATCTAATGAAATTCTAAAATTGCCTATTAAAAGTTAAGATTTGCTTTCTCATTTTTAAAAAGCCATAATACATCTGATACCTTGTCCAGTTTAAGTGTGGTTAGCCTTTTTATAGTTATTTGTTTATATATTAGGCAGTTGCTTGTCTATCATTCCTCAAAAACTGATACCGGGGTAGAGCTTCATTTCTTCCTCTGTAAAGATGGCAACAGAGTAGCTAGTAACTTTATTTCCTTTTATAACCTCTATTCTGTAACTGTAAAGTGACCACATTATTTGCTTTCCCTGTTGCATATCTATTCAAAATTCTTGGAGAGCTTGTCATTTTTGCTTCAGTCAATTTCATTTTCCAGTTTCTGTGTCAAGTATTGAAAATAGCCTATTAGCACCTGGATCGATCGGTCTTCAGCTATCATTAAGATTGCACCAATCACAACACATCCACCATTCTTCTCATACTCTTGCCTTTCTTCTCTACATTCATCTAAAACGTTTAACATTGTCACCTTCCCATCTTCTTGAAGGCTGACCGGGCGGTCTTTTCTGTTCTCGTGGGTACCACTCAGCAATAATTGTGGTCCACCTATTGTCCATGAGCCGTGCTGTTTGGCTTCCCCATCGCATTGTGTTATGTCTGCTTTCCATGATAATATTTTTCACACCGCTGTGTTCTCTGATAATTTCATTTGGAATACAATCCAGAAGGGAAATTCCCAACATAGCTCACTCCATTGCCCTTTCAGCTACTAATAGTCGCTGCTCTTCTCTCTTCATCAGTGCCCACGTTTCGCTGCCATACAACATGGCTGGCAGCACTGTTGAATTGAAGATATTTGTAAGTGTGATCTTACTGATTTTTCCTTTGAGGACATCTTTGATGGAATTGAATGCACACCATCCTGCACGAATCCTTCGCGAGAGTTCTCCGTTCAGGTCTTGGCGCATATTAACTTCTTGGCCCAAATATACGTACTGTTCCACTTCTTCGATTTCTTCTCCTGTTATCGTTATTCGGACTTTTCGTAAGACGTCTGATTGCATGTATTTCGTTTTGCAGCGGTTCATTTTCAGACCGACCTGACTGCTTTTCTTGTCAAGTCTTCATAGCATGCTCTGCAATTGGTTGGTGTTTTTTGGCAATTAATACTATGTCGTCCGCGAATCTGAGATGAGAGAATCGTTCTCCATGATCTTGTTCATAACCATTTCGAGGCATGCAGTGAATAGTGCCTATTAGCAGGCAAAGATATTTAGTTTGTTGCCCTATTAGTTTTCTTGCCTTTATTGGAATGAGCTTTTATTCTAGATGCTGAACTGTATCTTAAATACTTTATAACTTTCCACTAATTTCCTACAAGCATTTTATTTCTTCATTCTAAATAACACATAAAAATCAAGGGAGATAGAGAATAGGAATTTCCCCTCAGCTAGGTGTTAGTAAAAATTGATTTAGGCTGTTCAGAAATAATGCCAGGAGTGTTATGACTATACTGTACAACTGAATGACTTTTGAGGGAGTGCATTAGAGAGGTGCAAAGTTACCTGTGCTTTTTGCACAGACTGCTTCATTCTGTCTTTCTTGCTGACGGGTGAAATATATTTAGTGTCATATTGCTCCTCTTCCTTACCTTTTAATATCCAATACGTGGACTTTTGTGTGCTATGTTAGTTTGAGTAGGTCTTAAAGGTGACCTGGGAAAATCCAGGCTCACTTCCTTCGTAGAAATGGTGATCACAGACCATTGCTCTTTGTACACACAGAGGCCTCTGCAAACACTTATGTAATTGCTTAACTTTAAGTACACAAGTTGTCCCATTGAAGTCAAGAATATGCATAAAGTGTTGAGGGATGCAAAAGGGAATACATCTCCTTGTTTTCACCTGTTTTGGAGTCAGAAAATATTTTTCATCTGTAAAAAAGATGAAGCGGTGTAGTTTTTGGTTTTATTTTTTTTAAGACAATACCTTTTTTATAATAGCTAAATTTTGTTTTGAGATTGTTGTTGTCTATTTTTTTGGCCCAAGCACACTAAGTGAATAGTGTTTACTTTAGAAATCTATTTCAGGGCACACTTGGAATGTTTCTATAGTGAAATTGGAGAACAAGGGAGGGGTTTTAATTGTGGTTTCTCTGTTACCCTAATATTTTACTCTTAGCTGCCTTCCAGTATTAAAACTAAACAATTTTAAAGTTTGACTTGCCAGTCACTTGTCCATTCTCATTGCCCCTTAGAGCACTTGCTTATGCTTGCAAGGAATCAGACCACAATGAATGTGGTATGGAAGATTTTTGCATAATGCATGAAAGCTAAAATGTGGTTGGGAAGCATAGTTTCTGTGTGTCAGCAAAACACTATACTTGCACACTTTTGTTTAACTTTTTTTGCCTACTGTTTGAGGGGGGAGAAGAATGGAACAAATTTAACTTTGAAAATATGCACTCAAATAGAATTGGTTTTCACTGAGAGTCTCAACAAAATATTGATGAGCTGCATTAATCTTATCATGGCTGCAAGAGTGCCATAATTTACACAGAAGATTTTCCTCTTTTGTAGATTTTAAATGTTCATTGAAAAGTTAGAAAACAGAAAAATAAGTAGAAACAATACTTTAAAATAGTGAAGCTTTTAATTCTCAAGATAAAAAAATTAAGTTTTTATCAATCTGACCTTGATTTGCTAAATGTGTTGCAAAAAAGCCATAATTTAAAAGACTAACTTTCATGCCTACTTTGAATAATACAATTGACTTACCTTTTAGGTTACATATTCTATATTTACAAATCAAGAAAATTCTTACTTTTTCAGTGCTTATAACACCCCTAAACAACCAGCAATTCGTTTCAAAAGGAACAAACATCACAAAGGGTCAATCTACTGTGTGGCATGGAGTCCCTGTGGTCAGTTATTGGCTACTGGTTCTAATGATAAATATGTTAAAGTACTACCTTTTAATGCAGAAACTTGTAATGCAACAGGTAAGGGGTGTGTGTGTGTGTGTCTCTCTCTCTCTCTCTTTGTGTGTATGTGTATATAACTGCTATAACATGTTGTCATGTGTTTGGGATGGTCATGTTAGTGACAAATGGCAAAATCATTTATGCATGTAATTTTGGTAATGAAGTGTATTAGACTGTCACACCTAGTCCTGAACCAATGAGAGGCTAGAAATGCTGCCAAACCAGGGCTCCAGATAAGTAGCTTTGAGTACAGGTTGGACCTCTATAGTCTGGCAACATCTGTGGTCCAGCATTTCTGTGGGTGCTCCTGGGCTGAAGCACTCACTTGGAAAAGCTGGGCCCTGAGTTCAGCAACTCCTTCCATCCTAGAACTTCTGGAGCTTTTCAGGGAGAGAGGAAGAGGAGGCGTGGGGATGGGACAGTGCTCAAGAGAAGAGGCAGGGTGCATAGCCCCACAGTAGGCAGCAGCAGAGGGGCTGGCATTGACCTCCCCTGGTCCAGCAGACTCTCTGGTTTGGGACCAGTCAGGTTCTGAGGGTGCTGGACCAGGGAGGTATAGCCTGAATCTGATTTAAACTTACTTATGTTTTGGGGGAAAGGAATTCCTGCTTGGAAGTTTTAAATATTAGAAGGTTCTCAGCAAAAACAGATTAATGTCTGCTGTGCAGGTGAGAGCAAAAAGTTTATTCTACCGTGGCTAGTATACTCTTTTAAAGAAAAATATTAATAAATAAGCAGAATCTGACAGAAGGGTTTGGCCAGGAATTTCAAGATCAAGATATTTTTTATTTGTTCAATGTATTCCAGGATAATCCAGTCACAGAAATAACAGATAATTTTATGGAATTTAGTCTTTCTGCACAAATGTAAAAATGCTTATTTTAACGTCACTTGTTTAATATTGACAATATTATTTCAGTTAGAGAACTGTAATGGTGCGGGTTTGTTTTTGTTTTTTGCTAACTGGAATAAAATATTGTGAACAAACATATTGAAATCCAGCTCTGGAATTGAGAATAAATTATTGTATGAATATCAAGGGTAGGTCTACACAGCAAAGAAAAACCTGTGACTGATATGTACCAGATGACTTTCATTCAAAGTGCTTGGGCTGCAGGATTGCTCTGTAGACTTCCAGGCCTGAGTCCTAGGATCCTGCAAGGTAGGAGGTCCCAGAGCTTGGACTTCAGCCCAAGCCCAGAAGCCTACACACCAATGGAAACAACTCCACAGCCAGAGCCGTGTGAGTGCAAGTCAGCTGGCATAGGCCTGCCACGAGTTTTTCTTTGCTGTTTAGATATACCCTAAGATGTAAACCTCAAACAGAGTGCTTAAATGGTTACATAATTAATATGCTTTGTTTAGTGTACTTCTCACTATTCTTGGTTTTATTTTAAATTATTTCAGGACCAGACTTGGAGTTCAGTATGCATGATGGGACAATTAGAGATCTTGCTTTTATGGAAGGCCCGGAAAGTGGTGGTGCTATTTTAATTAGCGCTGGAGCTGGAGACTGTAATATTTACACAACAGACTGCCAGAGAGGTCAAGGCCTGCATGCTCTAAGTGGCCATACTGGTATGTTTGTAAAAATGACACTGTAACAATCTATTCTATGCACTGCCTTTTTAACAAGCATTGGTAACCTCTAGAGATGTGAATGGTTAACTAGTAACCTGTGAGGGCTGGTGCAGCTCCGCACCAGGCAAGAGCTGCTCCAGCGGGCCCGAGTGCCCTAGAGGCAGGGGCTAGTATGACATCCGGAGTAGCCTCTGTCCATGGGGAGCCCAGCATGCTGTGGACAGAGGCTGCTGTAGTGGGGGCTGGGAGCCAGGAGCCGGCAGCAGTCCCAACCCCCCATGGCAGCTGGGAGCCAGCAGGCAGCCTCAGTGTGGGGCAGGGAGCTGCTCCAGCTGGACTGAAGAAGCCTCCACCCGGATCCTGCTTAATCGGTTAAATATGGGGTTAGCTTAACGTTTAACCAGTTAACAGATTAACTGGGATTTTATATCCCTAGTAACGCCATTAACCAAATCATGCTCTTCTTATGGACAGCGCCTCTGTCCTATCCACAATGACTTCAAGAGAGGGTTTATTTTTTTAATCTATCTTGTTACATGTTTTAACCCCTTTGTCTCCCTGCTCACTGTGTTAATGCTAGAAAAGATGTAGAGCAGGGTGTTGCCACTGTACTGGTGGCACTTCTTCAGTCCAAGCCATGTTGCAACCCTTCCCAAGAGTTGTGTATATGTGGAGTAACATAATAAATTGAGACATGAAGAAATCTAACAGGCTTTCTGAAAAGAGCTAGTTGATTATCTCTAACTCTCTGATCTCTTCAAGACTACTTTCGTAAAACCAAAATATAACATTTACTCTACTGTTGACGACCCTACTTAAGGTATAAGTGCGTATATGAAACGAGAATATGTGCAAAAAATCAGTAGTGATCTTTAAATAGTGAGTAATACTAGTAAAGTAACACATGTTCTTATCTACAGGTCATATTTTAGCACTTTATACATGGAGTGGGTGGATGATTGCATCTGGTTCTCAAGACAAGACTGTAAGATTCTGGGATCTTAGAGTACCAAGTTGTGTTCGTGTAGTTGGAACAACATTTCATGGAACTGGTAAAAACTATTGCTCTTTATGCACTGGCCAAAAAGCTTATTATACATGTTTTAAAGCTGGTTCTTGGCATTTGGTTTATTGAGAATAGGAATCTTACATTGCAAAATGAAGAATTTTGGCTTCTTCAAGATAACCCCCAATTGCTCATTTTAAAAAACAGAAATTTGGTATATGTGTTCAAAAGCTGGCTATTTCTTTGCTTTGTGACCTTTTGATATTAAAAATTATTTATGTAGCACCATACATCTGTATGATGCTTTAAAGTAGAGAAAATATAAAATCAACATTTAGGTTGATAAACTGCATTACAAAGAGTGCCATTTTTGTATCAGTAATTTTTTTAAATTGATAACAAATGTAAACATGATGGCTGTAAGGAATATTAAACTATTAAAAATGTCAACCTTGGAATTAAATGTTGGAATTTGGCAAATCTGTTGTTCTGTAAACGACATATCCTTGCTAGGTAGTTACTATCCTCATATTAAAAAACCAGCAAGCAAATGGTCTGGTAGCACTTTATAGACTAACAAAACATGTAGATGGTATCATGAGCTTTCGTGGGCACAGCCCACTTCCTCAGATGACCGGAGTTATGATTAGAGGATAAGGAAACTTGAAATAAATAGGAGAAGGGAAGGGGGGGGGGGGAAGATGTTCTGTCTTCCACCCCCCTACATCTATGCATAATGTATCAGGAGAAAGGGTGCTAAACTTGAGTAGATAAAGATCAAAGTCAGTGGATGGATAAGGCAGGAAGGATACCATTCAGAAAGTAGTTAGTCAAGTATGTATATTCTGCTATGGATTCTAACTATGCAGAAAATTGAAAGCTGTCACTCTTGGATAGTCCTTTTTTCTGTAGTAAAACATTAAGCAGATAGTCCTCATCTTTTTTCAGACGATGCAGCTTTAACTGTGACTTTGCTACCACTCCACCATAAGAAATCCAATCAACCTATGCTACAAGTTACAAATTATAAAATTAGTGCACTATAAGATTTGTCATTTAATGTAGAGCAAATTAGCTGAAAGTACATTTAACTTGGCTAGATATGTTTTTTACCGTTTTAATATTGTCAGTTCTATAAACATCTTAAAAACCTTTAGGTGTTAAAAAGAATGTAGAACATAGATATTTAAGTTTTATTAGTTTATAGACAGCATTTTCTTACAGGTAGCGCTGTGGCATCCGTAGCTGTTGATCCTAGTGGCCGTCTCCTAGCTACAGGGCAAGAGGACTCCAGTTGCATGTTGTATGATATTCGAGGAGGACGAATGGTACAGAGCTATCATCCTCATTCCAGTGATGTTCGTTCTGTTCGCTTTTCTCCTGGAGCTCACTACTTGCTCACAGGATCTTATGATATGAAAATAAAGGTGACGGACTTGCAAGGTAAATCATGTGATGTGAAGTGCATTAAGCAAAATCGAGCAGTGAAGTGTGTTTTGTTAATATCCAAGGTTTTAAAAATTTGGATCAAAAGAAATTCATTTCTGAAAATGCAGAAATCTGAAATCTGTTAAGGCTATGAAGTGAAATGTAAAAAACTTTAAAATGCACATACCAGCACGGTTCTTATCTGCTAACAAAAAATTGCTCTTATTGCAGTCAAAACTGTAGTCTGGCATCTAAATATGATTAAGGAATATAATTGCAGCAAAGAAACCAAAGCTGTTTAATGAATAGGCCTCTTCATTGAGGTGATGCACAAAACTCAGATCCACAAAGCAAAATTCCTACTTGATTTACCTCCTTTATTTTTTTTTAAAGGGAATAGTCAAAAGGAAGAAACTGAATAAGTCCTCCTATCAACCTGATTTTTATGGTCCATTCATTTGTATTTAAACTTTAGTTTATGATATAGCTGTGTTGTAAACAGCTGTATCCACCACAAAAGAGCTCCAACCTGCTTGGCCTTACGCATGGCTAAATTATAATGAGGATGTTAAAGTGCATGTCATTAGGTAACCATGTAACGCCTGAAAATTTCAGTGGTTACATGAGGGGGGTGGCAGTTAGCTTCCCAGGAGCTGGTGTGTGTGTAGGAAGCTGGCTTTTAAGCTGGTTCCCCGCATGTACCGGGAGCCTGTGTGTAACATGAATGTTAACCAGTAAAGACAGGTTTATCGACTAACCATTTATAGGGTTAAACTTTCACATCCCTACATTTCTAAATGTTAAATAATTATTTATAGCATTCAGTTCTATTGATTATAGAATGGAAAGGCCCATGAGTCTCTTTCACATTCAAACTAGACTTTTCCCCTTTTAATGTGAGTGAAAGGATTCTTTATCAGTAACTTCTTCAGCAAGAGAAATAGATATGTAGAGTTTATTCAAGAAAATTGTGTTAATTAAAGAAGTAATTATTTTTATTCTTCTCTCTTAGGAGACCTTACTAAGCAACTTCCTATTATGGTGGTAGGGGAACATAAGGACAAAGTGATTCAGTGTAGGTGGCATACGCAAGATCTATCCTTCCTGTCATCTTCTGCAGACAGAACTGTAACACTTTGGACCTACAATGGTTAGAGTTCATCTAAAGGCAAAGTATGCAGACAAAGCACAGAGACAAAAAGACTACTGGACTGTAAAAATAATTTAGAGATTCAAAGAGCAGCATCTGACCAGGAGCGTGTCTTACCAAGGCACTTGTCACAGGTTTTCTGATTGCTAGGTGGTCTTGGTGTGTTAGTATTACTTTGCAGTGCTTTCAGTCTTCCATGTGAACTCTTGCTGCTGTGACATATTGTAGTCTTGTTGCCAAAGTCTGTTGGAAGAGCTCTTATGTTGTCAATGTGCACTCAAAGTAAGATTAATGATGTGTTTACAGATTAGTATTAATTGCATTCCTTGGTCTTTGCCTCAATGACAATTTTATATAGAAACTTAAACTGAATTACACTTTAATCAAGTCAGTAACTAGGTCCACATAAATGTAGAAGATAAAAATGTACTTCTGCTGTTTTACACTTCTATTGGATGCATCACTTGTCAACCAGAGGTCAGACTTTTGTTCCTCCTTCCACACTTTCAGCATTGTGTTTTTTTTAGTACATATAATTGTAAAAATTAAAGGTGACTAGGCTGTAACTGCTTCTCGTTTATAGTCCAGGATATAGCATGTTTTGCTTTTCATCTAAACTGGGGAAATGTTGCTGTTTTTACATCATAATGTTTTCAACAGGCTTAGACATTGAAAACAAAAAGTAAAATGTTGGGTTTTCTCTAGAAACCATGTAATATTTCATTTTGAATGCAACAGAATACCTCTGTTTATAAAGTACTGTAGAAAAGTGAATGGATTGGCAGCAATGATCACAATAAGCTAAATGGCCAGCAGTTCTCTCAAATTAAAATGGCACCATCAACACTTATAGACAACAGCATGGCTTAAAATGCTGTCTGCATGATAAATTAATTTAGTTTCCCAGTCTAGAAGCATATTTGGATTTTTATTTCTTGCACTGTTTATGTAATGCAGATTTAAGGTTTTATTTCTATGAAACTTTAGATTCTATGTTTAAGTATGTTATATTTTCATATTGTACAGTTCCTTTTAAATTAAAACCTTAAATATTAGGTTATTTATTTATTTGAAATGCAGTTATTTGGTTCTAATAATGACTAAATTATCGGTTCACTCTATAAAGCATTTTTTAACTAACTGTATAAAAGTGAAAAGATTATTATGGAAGTGTATCTCCACTATAATCTCAATAAAGACCTCTGACACCTGAAAGCACAACTACTACTTATTTCACATACTCTTAGTCTGGTCTCTTTTGTATTACTTTTATAAATCTCCATGTTTCAGTTCCAGATATTCATGTTATTAAAAGATGAAGACTTTATACCTTCCATATCCTCTTTAATTGCTGATTTAGCAGACCTACTGTATTATACAGATTACTTATAGAAGCTTGTTCTTGTTCTACAGATAGACCCCCAATTCTGAAGGGCTGTGTCTAGACTGGCCAGTTTTTCCGGAAAATCAGCCACTTTTCTGGAAAAACTTGCCAGCTGTCTACACTGTCTGCTTGAATTTCCGCAAAAAGCACTGACTCCCTACTGTAAGAAATCAGTGCTTCTTGCGGAAATACTATTCTGCTCCCATTCAGGCAAAAGTCCCTTTTGCGCAAAGCTTTTGCGCAAAAGGGCCAGTGTAGACAGCTCAGATTTGTTTTCCACAAAAAAGCCCCAATCGCGAAAATGGCGATCAGGGCTTTTTTGCAGAAAAGCGCGTCTAGATTGGCAGGGACATTTTTCCGCAAAAAGTGCCTTTGCGGAAAAGCGTCCATGCCAATCTAGATGCTCTGTTCCGAAAATGCTTTTAACGGAAAACTTTTCCAGAAAATCATGCCAATCTAGACGCAGCCAAGATGTTTGAGTTGCTCTGCCTTGTTTCCCTATGTATAGCTATTTAGCATCTGCGTGCAGTCGTGCACTATTGTAAGTCACGTTAAATTCCGTTGCAGGGAAACTGCTACATCTCATTCAAAATGTGATTCTCTTCCATTCTTCGTTCGCGTTCCAACGAGTCACTCCTTCCGTGCTGCGCGATCCGCGTTAGCCCCGCACCGACACAACGTCTGGAGCTTGACAGGGGAGAGGCTGCGCGCTTCTCACACTACCTCGCCACACGTAGAGCCGTGGGTGGGCGATGCGGGCCGGGCGCGATTTGCTGATTTTTAAATCCACCTGCGAGTGCTAGAAACGCGGAGCTTGGGCGGGGCCCGTGTGAAATGAGTCCGGCCCCAGCCCGCTGTCAGCAGCTGCACCGCACCGCCCTTCTGCCACTGCAGCAGAGGCAACGGCACTTCCAGGCCAGGCTTGCGAGAGACGCGTCCCGCCCCAGCGCTTGCAACTGACGGCTCCTGGGGCTATACATAGTTTGGTTTCTGTCGCCGCCGTCATTCTGGCTCGGAGGGTGAGGAGCGCCGAGCGCATGGATTGGGGTCCCGCCTGCTAGAGGCCGAGCCGCTCGGTGTCAGTCGCTGGCGGAGGGTGCAGAGCGGGAGCTGGGCCTGGCGCGCGGAGCAGGTGTGGGCATTGGGGGGAGGGTAGCTCCCTCGTAGGGGTCCTTGCTGGCCGCTGTCTCGCGAGGGTTGTGGGGCTCGGGGGCGGGGCCCGGCGTGGGGTGATGCGCCGCGGGGCAGGAATGAACCCGCCAGGTTAGCGAGGCGGCTGCATAACGCGGCGCGGTTTGTGGCGGGCGCCAGAGGGTCGCGGGGCCCCCCAGATGTTGGCGGTTGCTGTGCTCGGTCGTTGCTGGCCAGCAGGCACAGGTGTCCCGCCTTACCGCTAGCTAGTGTCGGGAGACTGGCGCGGCTGAGGCTGAGCCCTCGCTGTCCCGTTGCGTTACACAGACGCGCCTCCATATTTAATACAAACCCCGCCCTTACACTTCACTTCCCACTTTGCATCCGTCGTGGTTAGCGTTGGGAAAGGGAACCCGAGCGCGGATCGTTGTCCCGGAGGTGTAGCTATGAAACTTGCAAATGTTTGTTCAGTGTGACGGGTCATATTTCAATCTATTAATACTGGATTGTTTGCTGTGCTAACAGAATTTACTTTACTTCAGCAAATTGTTCCAGTCCGTGGACTCGCTTGCAGAACTGTGTTGTGCTATTGTTCAGTAAATACAGACCTGACAGTGAATCTCAGTCTATTGTCTTAAATCTGTTTAATATTTGGAGTGCTTTCTTAGGTAGGTTTTGTTCTATAGGCCATGTAGATTATCTAGCTTGTTATTTTTATGTGTATTTAGTGCAAAATTTACAGTATGTTATTGTACAAGGTGCAATTATGTTTTCAAATTTCTAGAAATATTTGAAAAGCAGACAAGTCAGATAAGTTAGATTTTTTTTTTTCATTCACTAGAATGACCACTTCACTTCAAAACCAAAAATCTTATTAAATACATGTAGCTGGCAAAATGAAAATATAAGTTTCCTGTCCCCCAGTCAGAAGCATTGAAGGAACATGGGGATTAAGCGAATGCCACATAATTAAGGGACACAACTAGGCAAAATTGGGATTCAGTCTTGCAGGCTGTAGAGCCTTATTCATAGCACTACACTTGTTGAAAACAAGATTTCTTCAGTGGGAGAATGATCACCTAAAACTTATTGATAGAGATGAATTCATGTTCTAACAAGTGAGGAAATCTCTAACTCGGTATTTTGGGGTGGACTTCAGTAGAATCTTAGTCCATTGTCAGTTATTGTGACTCATCCATATTGTTCATTTACTCATAATGGTCTAAATCCTGCTCCTATTGAAATCAAAGGGAGTTTTGTATTTGTAAGTGAAGAAAAATGTATTGATTTTTTTTTTGAACACCCTTTGCTTTCTCTCTCAAGTTTGGACTCTTACATATGCTAGTCTGTGTATTCACAGTATAAATTATTCATAAATTTTCTTTTGGCTTAACCATTTAGACATCCTGAAAAATTATTCTGTTTTATAGGAAACCAGTTTATGCACAGCTTTGTGAAAAGGTTGATATGTCATAAATTTGTTCAACTTCTAACCTCAGTTTGCAGTTTTAATTAAATGTGTGGATTTTGTTGTACTCAGGATGCTGGTTCCCTTGGTACTGTATGCAGCTGTCATCATAGGAAGTGGTGAAGTTCAAGGTGATGAATGGATTGACCCCACAGATATGCTCAATTATGATGCAGCTTCAGGAACAATGAGAAGACCTGCTAAGGTTAAAAAAAAAAGTCACTTTCTCTCCATATTACTCATACATTCTTATGTCAAAAGAACAAGATTAATTCTACACTCTTAGGAGTTAGGGATATAAAATCCCATTTAATTAATTCACCAGGTAATTAACTTTAATTGACTTATTTTAAACACAGAGGTTGGGGCTCCAGCCCCCACCAGTTAATCATTAACATTCCTATTGTGAGTATACATTTATGATTATGAACACATGCAGGGTTTTTTCCCACAGAATCTGTACTTTCAGTGCTAGAGCCCACTGCCCAGCTTGCAAATGTGTCTGGAGCATGACTACTGAGAGCGGAATCTTTGTAGGGATTAGCTGCAAGAGTTAAACAAGTCTCTGCTGAGCATGTGCTAACTGTGATTTTTTTTTTTTCCCCCAAGTCTCATAATTTAGTCAAATTGGGGTGGATTTTCACAGAGACAGCAAAAGGCACGTTCCAGACACAAAGTACACCTTCCAAACAAATTTCAAATTTCTGCTCCAGAGTATGGAGTCACTAGAGCATCTGAAGGAATAGGATACCAGGATTTAACAGGTTTAATACAAACATTTTCCCTAGCCTCATTCTTAGAAATGGGCCAACCGGCTTAGGTAATTTTTTTTTAATTTGGTCTGAGGCAGATGCTCCATTGGAATGGAGTTAAGAGGAAGAAACAGAAGAGTTGGATTGAGCCAGGGAGGAGTGGGGTCTCTGGATTGTGGTGGGAACAAACAGCCTGTTTTGTCTGTCATCTTTGTTACTTCATCTAAAATAATTTCAGAAAGTCTCTGCAAAGTTCTCCTTTTACTGATCTCCATTTTTTTTCTGTGGAGGGGCCAGTCTACTTCCAAACAAGGAAATAGGATTTACACTAAATAGCAATAACTTGTGTGACTATTTCAAACTGGGATTTAAGAGATTTCTTTGGGCATGAAAAATTATGTTGGGGGAACTTTCATGTTATGAAGTGTATAATGTAATCAGAATACTCTGGAAAATATTTACACAGACTGCTGTTAATAAGCTAATATTGGTATTTATGTAATCAAGGATATTAATAGTTCCAAGTATACATTGGGGACATTTTCCATTCTGCCTTTAAATTTTTAAATTGAAATTGCTTTTATGAAATATGCTTTTATTGGTTAAGTGTGTTAAGCATTGGAGAATCTAAGCTCTTACATGTATTAAAGTCAGAGGAAGTTTTGTTGTTGAATTCAGTGGGAGCCAGAAAACATCAGAGGCTTATTCTGTGACCTCAAATGTTTAGTTTGAAACCCCCTCCATTTGCTGGGTTTTTTTTTTCCAGCAGCTCTCTGCTGCACTTCTGAGAGGTGATTTTTAGGAAGACTCCGTGGGCTTAAAATTCAGGTTTCAGCTCTTCAGTTACATTTCTTTTCCTTTTATATTTTCTTGCAATGTATAAAATGACCTGATTGATTAAATATTAGCCTTCTTTAACCAACATCTTGCTAAGGGCTATAATAAAAATACATTTTCTTCACTGTAACTACAGGTAAATCATGACGACTCTGATAATAAGAAGGTAGCGGATACTGTTGCAGACTTGGGAAGCACTACAGCATTATCGGAGTGCCATAGGAAATTAGAATTCTTCATTCAGAAGGTTATCTTATCATTTTATATTCATTCAGAAAGCTATCAAAAAGTCTAAAGTACTTTCTATTTTTTTATGTTATTTACATTTTTTTTTTAAATAATCAGAAATGTTGGTTTAGAACAGGTGGATTACTTGAGGATCAGTTGTGGATGTAACTGCTGCTGAGTATAGTCATTCAATATATTTTCTTGATATTTCAGCCTTTTAATTTGATTAATCTGTTAAGTCTGTAGATAGTCATATACTGTCACATTTTGGCTTATTTTAGAAAGGTACTAACAGGAAAGTAATGGGAGTGTTTAAACGATTAACTGATAAACCTGGTTTTATTGGTTAATCAGACTGATTACACATACCTCACCCCTTGCTGCCTCAGTACCTGTGGGAAGCCAGCTCCCTGTGTGTGCTGTTTCCTGTGGGAGCTCCCCCTTTCCCCCTCTTTGCTGCCTCCTGCAGAGGGAGTACTGACACAAACTCTGTTCTCAGGGTGCTCGGGCCTGCCGCGGACAGAGGCTGCTGCGTGGGATGCCGAAGCAACCTCAGTTCACGCAGAGCTCAGGCCACCAATGGACAGGGGCTGCTGTCTCTGTATCAGAGGCAGTAGTGCGGGGCAGCAAGTGGAAGCTTAAACCAGCTCCTCCTGCCACTCTGTGCTACTGCCCATGATACAGAGAAAGCAGCGTGGTATGGCAGGGGGCTCCCTGGGAGTGGGGCCATGAGCCCCACCCCTGGGAGTATTTTAGTAACCATGTAACTCATAAATCTTTTTTGCAGCTATATGATTACTAAAATGTCATCTAACATCCCTAGAAGAGAACACCCAGAATGTATGTTTTTGGCATGATTGCCTGTTTAAAAATGAAATTCATAATGCATACACACTTTGATAATCCTAATAGGAAAATCTATTTTCCTATTAAAGTTTAAAATTTCATGTACATATTTCTATTAAATCTAAGGGAATAAAGTCTTTCCCTTCAGTGCTCGCAATTAAAGTTTGGAATACTTTGTTTTAGTCTTTGGAAACTAAGGGTACATTTAGACTACATGCCTCGGGCGGCAAGAGGCATGTAGATTAGATTACCTGGCATAGGAAAATGAAGCGGCGATTTAAATAATCGCCGCTTCATTTAAATTTACATGGCTGCCGCGCTGAGCCGACAAACAGCTGATCGGCTCAGCGCGCCAGCCATGTAAATTTAAATGAAGCGGCGATTTAAATAATCGCCGCTTCATTTAAATTTACATGGCTGCCGCGCTGAGCCGACAAACAGCTGATCGGCTCAGCGCGCCAGCCATGTAAATTTAAATGAAGCGGCAATTATTTAAATCGCCGCTTCATTTTCCTATGCCAGGTAATCTAATCTACATGCCTCTGTCGCCAGAGGCATGTAGTCTAGACGTACCCTAAAAGACTAAACTAGATAAACAGGGAAAATTGATCTACTTCTTTCATTGTTTGTGTAATATAAAAAATGGGAGGAGTGCTAATAGGCAGTTTGTCAGAGACAGGGCCACAAGACATAGCCTGCAGAGATTCTAGGCAGCGTTGCAGCTTTAGGACAGACCCAGAAGACTGCTGTAACTTACGTTAGTTTGCAGGTCTGTCTAAATTATGTAGGGATCTTCTCAATCGCCCAAAGTAGCCCGGGATTAGGTATTGCAAACATGGCTAAAAGCCACCTCAGCTATGTGGACACTTCCCTTACCCATTTCACCCCAGGGTGAGAGTTCTGTGCTGTGTCCTTTTAGATGCAGCAAAAACCTCATGCACGCACGCGTGCTCACGCACACTCTGTATAACTAATCTTTTTATAACTGAACTGATATAAATCATCTTATGATATAAATTTCAGAATATTGAGGGATGAACAAATCTTGAGGTTTTTCTAGTCCAATGTTTATATTGAGGTTAGGATTCAGACCACATCATCATCAGAAGGTTAAAAGTCCACAACTTTTACGACTTAGAAACAAGTGCCATGGAAAAAAGTTGGAAAAATGTTGTTCTTAAGTATATATATTACTGTGATTTTCTGAGACATATTAGCAGCAACAAGCTTGTGCTAGGCTGTAGGAACTTGTTTCATTCACTAGAAACACTATTAATCCCTTGCATAAATTAATTTGTCATCAGTGAAAGTTTGTAACTTGGAATTTGTTTTCTTGCTCCAGATTGAAGAGTGTGAGAAGAAAGAGAAGACCATGTTAAGTGAAAGTCGCAGCATTCATGTTTTTAGGAGATACTTGAATAAGATTTTACTTGAAGCTGAAAGACTTGGCCTTGTGAGTATTCATATGTTGATGAAAATAGGGTAGAATTTTAGCTGCTACTTTACACATTTCTTTATGATTACAAATCAACATAGCATAGTAATTTAAGTACTGTATTCCAGTTATTCCAACTAAGAGAAATAAGAGAAGGGAATTAGTGAAAAGACATTTTTACAGCTTAAATTTTGATAAATTGATTAAAATACATACAGTAAAATAATTCACCTGCTATGCTACCCCTCTTGTGCCTCAGTTTGTCCACATCATCAGAGGGATTCTAACTAAGGATGTTAAATAATGATTAATTTACTAGTCGAGTAGTCAATGGAATTTCCATGGACTACTCGACTAGTCAATAGGAACTTGCGCATTCTCCCTTTGAAATGTACAAGAGCCCCAGAGGTGGCTCTTGTGCATTTCAAAATTGGAACTCCCCGCTGGCCCCAGGCTGTATGTGAAGTCCCGCTGACTCCCAGCTCCATGAGGGAATTTCCGCTTTGAACTGCACAAGAGCCTGGGGGCTTCTGCACATTTCAAAGCGGAAGCACCTGATGTGCCAGCTCTGATGAGCCTGGAGTTAGCAGGACTTCCCGCTGGCCCCAGGCTGCACAAGATGTGCCAGCTCTGAAATGTACAAGAGTCCCAGTGGCAAGAGCCGGCTTTGAAATGTACAAGAATCCCCAGTGGACTCCACGTGGCAATATGGGTCTTTTTCAGTGGATAAATAATACTGCAGATTTAAAGAAAATTCAGCTATTCCTAATGCTTTTATTTGTCTTTCTGATTTGCTATCGCACCTAGACTGTTGTAATGGTTGTTTTGCTTTCCTTTAGCCTGATGAAAACATTGGCAATGGGCATTATGATGCTGAGATCATCCTTACAAGTCAGGCTCTTTTGGAGATCAACAGATTTCTCAGTGAAGGGGACTGGAAACCAGGAGCTTTGGATGATGCAGTTAGTGATATTCTGATTAATTTTAAACATCATGATTATGAAGTGTGGAAATGGAAGTTTGAAGACGCTTTTGGAATTGATCCATACAATGTGTTCATGGTAAGAGAGTAGGAATTCTCTGTACTATTGTACTTTCCAATGTTCTTTAATGAGCCAGTCCTGTCACTAAGTATTCTATCTGTGCTTTCTGCCAGTAGATGGATAGTGATATTCTGATTAATTTTAAACATCATGATTATGAAGTGTGGAAATGGAAGTTTGAAGACGCTTTTGGAATTGATCCATACAATGTGTTCATGGTAAGAGAGTAGGAATTCTCTGTACTATTGTACTTTCCAATGTTCTTTAATGAGCCAGTCCTGTCACTAAGTATTCTATCTGTGCTTTCTGCCAGTAGATGGAGATAAACGTTGAGCATTGCTGACTCTTTTCATCCCAGCAGGTGAAGATGACCTGCCTGTCCAGATCAGGGATTTTTAAATTTGATTTTCCTCCTCTCTTTTTCTTATTTTTTTTTCCTGTTTGAAACAATCACTTGGCCTCACAGTTATTTCTCTTCACCTTTTGGATCTGTGCCTAGACTGGCCCATTGAGTTCTGCATCTTTCCTAGTCCTAGAATTCCAGATCTGTCTCCAGGTCCAGATATTGGATCTTAAGTTACAGGGTTTCAGAAACACCCTGAGGGCTGTAATTTGGACTCTGTGGATGTTACTTTCGGGGTTGATTTGTATAATGTGCTTGCTTATGGTGAGAAAAGAGCGAGATTAGTTTTAAATGTTACAACTTTTGATAGCTCTGTGTCTTTAGATGTAATTATATCTGCAGTTTTAAAATGTAGGTTTTGAGTTAGTTATGAATACTGGTGTAATTCCACTGAAGGTCTGTGGTGAATTCATAAGTCATAAATTGAAATTTCTTTACAAGTCAAAATATGCCTCTGTATTAGATGAATTTTTATTTTGAATCAATTGCCGTGGTCCCCAACCCGGTGCCCGCAGGCGCCATGGCGCCCGCCGGGCTCTTTACATGCACCCGCGGAGCAATCTGGGCTGGCAGGTGCCAGCCCCGGGCGCATGGCCGGTCCCGGCCCCGGGGGCGCCGCGCGTACCCTTGCCAGCTCCGGCACCGGCCTTGGCCCCGCCCCTGGGAGCACG